TTCACAGCAGCATTTTGAGCCGCGTCTGAGTAGCACAGCAAGCACAAAATTATGATAAAAGTGGGTTCGTTTCGCCGTTAACAAGAATTGCTAACGTTTTTTTTCCAGATGGTACGCAGTGTCAGTAACTAGCACTGTAGTAATCGCTGAGCGAAGCTCAGTCCAAGTCGCTGAGGGGTCAGGCTATGTCTCCGTCGTGAGTCTGTCTGTCCGTCTGTAACATTCCGTATCTCCTCAAAATGTGCTGCACTGACAGCGAAAAGCGGGTTTGCCTAAGAATCGATAATTTACGAGGATTATCTGTGTGCATTATTGCTTGCATTGGTCAGCTTTGAAATATTCAATCGTTTAATTTAAATTCGCGCTCAGTTCGTTGGTATGTTGGCAGCACTGCGCTCGAGTGGATGAAAAGCGCTGGCGGCTCCGGCGTTCACTTCGCGTCTTTGATACTCTCTCACAAGTGATTTAATTGTCAGATCGTCAAACTGGGTGTGAGATTTTTAGTTTTAGAGTTGCGGAACTAGACCTACGAAGTTTCGCGAGTGTCCGGTGAGAAGAAACGAAAGTGATATTTTGAATGGTTTACGTGTTTACTTACGTAAGTTGAAGGGGGGAAGGGGGTAGTGGTTCGGGAGAAATGTAAAAAGGTGACTATTGTTCCGAGTTCATCTTGACAAAAGAAAACGAAAAAGTTTTATGCTCCAAGACGATCGGAATCGAAATAGCAGAGTTATGTTCAAATGTTCAATAAAGTGTTCAATCGCCCGTAGCGGCCAAACGGTGCGTCGGAGGTCAATTCTGACGGCAGTTTTCGTCCCTCACCCGAAGGGGTAATGGGCCGTATCTCGCCGAGACGAACAAAATGCACCCCTCGAACGTTCAATTTGGACCAATTTGGCCATGGCAATCCACCCATCGTTACTTGAGGGCTAATAACTTCCCCATTTTGACTCTGATCGGCTCTGAGCATAAGACATTTCCTCTTTAATTCCGAAAAAGGAATCCAAATCTTGAATTACACTTTTAAATTTTTAACCTCTAAAAAAATCCAAATTTTCAATTTTTGTATTTTAACAAAAGGCCATGGTGTGTACTTGTAGAATGATTGGAAGTCACCCAATCTTTCATTAGGACATGTCAAAACGATTATTCAACCCACTACTTATTTTCACAATAGCCATGGACTTGCAAGGGACCGACCAATATTTTAGCCAATATCGCAAACTCAGGTAGGATAGGCCCATCGAAATCAGAACAACGTTTATTCTTTTCTTAAACGGACTAGCTTTGTCTGGAGTCACATTACGTTTAATGATATCCAATAAAATGGTGGGAGCATTGAAATTAAACTGTATGATACGATACATTATAACTTTCAATTTAATATACTTCAGTGACTCGTGATTCTTCAAATGTCTCGGAGAAAGCTGATAAAAAAAGAATGAAAGAGTGACAAGTTATACTTGTCGTATGGGAGAGAAGTTTAAAT